AAAAAAAAAAAAGAAAATGTAAAAATTACACTTCAGTCTTTGGGGAAGTGCAGAAAAAATTCATAGTCAACCCGAATGTCTGTTTGATGGTGTGACAATATACAGCCTGTCACTGTGAATCAATCAAGGTGTGATTTTTCTTCTTTTCATCAGGTGGATCATGCAGCCAACAGAACCCAGTTCGGGAACAAGATCCACACCTATGGAGCCATCCAGGAGAAGATGGCTCGCATGACTATGCTGCAGTATGTCACTGAGGTCGGACAATGTAACACTACATTTTCTCACTGTCTGATTAACATCTATCTCGGCTGTTTTGACACTGCGATATAGGGGTTATTTCCTGTTTGACATCAAACACCTCTGTGAATTGTAATCTACACTACATACACGGTATACTGTGTGTTGCTGGTTTATGTGAGGACAAAGCATGTGTTTAAAGTTGACGATTTTTAACTTGATTTCCTGCCTAACAAAGCGTTTGTCAATGTCGCTAGCAAAGATGTTTTGAGCACAAATTCTCAACAAATGAAACTAGTTTGATACAGCATTATTGTGTATTGGTGCTGCAAATTTCTGCAGCACAGATGAACAAAATGTTATAAACTCATATTGATGTTACTACTTCTGTCTTTCTGCAGTCAATGGCCTACATGCTCAGTGGCAACATGGACAGTGGAGCAACTGAATTCCAGATAGAAGCCGCCATCAGCAAGATCTTTGCCTCTGTAAGATTTTAAACAATGCAAACATCTCATTGGTTTAACATGCAAACCAGAGCTGCTAACATTTTGTATGTTTGGTATTTAATTACTTCTTACACAAATGAGTGAGTTTTGAGGAACTCAGCACATCTTTCATAATTATTTAGTTCCTCATTCTGTGGAATACTGAATACTGTGACTTGTGGTAGATAGAAAAAAAACAAATTTTCATCTGTGGTTTTTTTTGTAATTGTGACAGGAAGCAGCATGGACGGTGACGGACGAGTGTATTCAAGTTATGGGCGGCATGGGTTTCATGAAGGTGAGAGTTGAGTTTACATTCTGTTTCATACAAACCCAGGTCCACCCAGAAGCTGCATGTTTTAACAGTTTGTAATATTGTCTACTAGAATTTAATCATTTTTACCTAGAATTTTTTTTCCTCCAGCATTTCATAGCCGTTTGAAAACAGACACTGCCATATACAGTTTCAATTGGCACACACAACAGGTTAATAATACAAGTATTTCACAATGTTCTTTTTTAAAAAGCAGGGATGAGTGGGTACCCTGCTCAATTTTAGCTCTTAGGAACCTAACTAGGAACTAGGAAGTCAGGAACCTGGGGTTTGACTGGAGCAAGCAAGGTCAGAATTGCAGGCACCATATGTCCTTCCCCCCAAAAAGTGCTTCCTTTGGGTATAGAAGAGCCCATCATTTTTTCACTGGCAGAGCTTTTCCACGAACTATTTAAGAATCACAGAAACTTGACATGGGCCTTATTCCCTGGCACCAAAAATGTCCTTTCCCTTGGGTGTAGAATAGTCGGTTCTAACTGCACTTTTCCGAAAACCTGGGGAACCATTTTAGGAATTGAAAAACCTTCACTAGTGTTTTGACCACAATAGGGTCTAAATTGTTCCTGGGTCAAATAGGTGTTTTCACTGCAAAAACATTTACAGAAACCCTGGAACCATTTTGGAAATGTGATACATTTTCTCATACAAACTCCGTACAATGGGCAATGTCTAGAGCGGCCCTTTCACACACTCACTCAACAGGACACTGGCTGTCAGGCGCATTCTGACCTAATGGAAATACTCAGTTTGGTTTAGGCGAGGGGTGGCAGTGGCACCTGGGTAGACATATCACAGTGTTTTGTTTATAGGAAGTTACAGGTGTTGCACAAGTTGCATGATAGAAAGATCAAGTCTCTCGCTGTGAGCTGGCAGGGTAAAGTCAATTTATTGTCCAGAACTTTGCATTCTCATATAAAGCTCCTCCAGGTAATGTCTAGGTAAATTCAGGGTTGCAGTGCATCTGTGGAAGGGACTTTAGCAACTTCACTAGCATCTTGAAAACAACAACCAAGGTCTAAATAGTTTCTGGGGCATACTTGATGGCCTCATGGAAGTGTGTATTTTTGACAACCTAACTATTAGCACAGAGGTTGCACTGCACACTTAATTAACTGTAAAATGGTAGACAGTCATTCTTGTGTTTTCAGTTCCACATTTGAAACATCTATTCAAGCATTACAATCAGGAATCCGTAAACTATAAAGAACATAAAAATGGTGTGTTGTTTTGTTGGGCGCAAGCTTGAATCTCAAACAAAGCAGCCATTTGTTAATTGTATGTATATTGTATTTGCCCAGTCTTTATGGTTACAGTGGAAAGTCAAACAAGAATGCTCAAAAGTGACTTTAGTTTCCTTTTTATTTCCTGGTACTACTGATGGGACAAGGAACTGTTTATCTCTGTGTATCTTCTGTATATTGACACATTAGTAATCCTCTGTTTGCAGTTATCACTGACTTGAACTCATCATATTGACATAACTGCTTATTTCTGCATTGCCCTGCATAGATAAATAAAATTATATTATCTGTGTTGACATAATCAACCAGCAAGTTCTATAAGCTCCAAACAACTAGTACACATTTATTAGTGTCAGACTTGTCACGTACACATTGCCACATTGCCATTGTGGTATTGAGTCACATAGTTTGAACATGTGAGACTGTCATGCTCAGAGAATACTGATACCACAATAATGGTTTCTAAAGTGAAAAAAAAAAAACAACAACCATAAATTCACAAGAATACACTGGTACAAACTGGCTGAGAATACGGGGGCGAACGAAGTAAACATTAATGTTACTCTGCTTAAAATAAACCAGACGATGCTGCAGGCCACATCTCTCTAGACGTGCTGCCATATCAGGCTCTCAATACAGTGGAAAGTGTGTCTGGTCATGGAACAACACTTTAAAACTCGAGCTGCAGAGGTGGCAATTCTGTTGCAAATGGTACTGTTGAAGCACTTTCATGTGGTGGAAAAAAGTAACCCAAATAATTTAATGCAATCTAGTTGAAGAACTACAATTCCCACAGAAGTTGCTTAAAAACCTTAACATAGTTTGAGTGTTTTAAGTGTCACAGAAAGACTTTTCTGTTGTATTGATACATTGTGCAGAGGAAATTTCATCCACTTCTTTCACGTTTCTACATGTTATTGTGAAATTAGTTGCTGGGCATGAACAGTCTAAAAGAAAGAGAGTGGGGGAAAAACACTGGCACAACAGACTTTGATTAGTTCTGCCCACGGTGCACATTTTGACTCAAGGTTTCATTTCACCAAGGAAGCCAAGTCAGAAGTGTGCCCTGTACATTTTCATTTCTGCCTTCTAAACAGAATACATGTCTGTCTGTGCAGCCTAAAATATAAACTGTGACTTTCACACACAGAATTGAAAAGCACAGAAATGAATAGTGACCGTCTTTATTCCTGTTTGCAGCAGGTGTTTTCACTACCTAATTTGATCTCAGTGAGAAACTGAGATACAAATGTCTTCTGTGTGCAAGATATGTTAAATTACACAGCTCATTTCCCCTGGTTGGTTTCTCAACATTGGTGATACAAACGTGTGGCTTAATCAAAGATGAATTTCGGTGCGTTGAGTGATTCTCAGAAAAGTTAAATTCTTTTCTTAGCAGACAAATTATAGGTCATGTGATTGTGGCAGCTTTATTCCTGGTCGGATTTGGTTGAGAAAATAGCCGTTTATCTTTACTATAGTAAAGTAAGTAGAGTGCAAGTAGAAGGTCATCATCTTTCTGTATGTGTCTCTGCAGGACTCTGGAGTGGAGAGAGTGCTGAGGGATCTGAGAATTTTCCGAATCTTTGAGGGCACCAACGACATCCTGAGGCTCTTTGTTGCCCTCAATGGCTTTCAGGTAAAATAACACACCTCTTTGTTGTATTTTCTTTCTTTGGTTCATTTGTGTTGACCTGATAATGTCTGAGTGGAGAAGTACAGATGTTCTGTAGAGAGGAAGTTATACTTGCTTGCTTTTACTTCCTATGTGCTGTACCGTCTTGTAGAGTTAAAAATGGGTGATCAAGAAGCAACTTCCTCATATTTATTTGTACACCAGGGATCTGTGTTGAGCCTGTGTGTCCTAACACTCAGAGCTTTGTCGACTTAAAGTAAAGCTGCTGTAGGTCTCGTCTATCACTACTGATTAGAGGAGAGGAATTCATCATAACAGTGCCTATAACTTAAAGTCAGCTTCACAAATGGTGCAAAAAGGATCCCAAAATTACAACAAATCACCCAACCTACCCACTTATATAAAAACCCAATAGGTTGTTGGAGATGGGATATTATGAAAATTACATGCCAAGACTATCCTGACCAAAATAATTGTGGTTTAAGATATAATCCTGATAATCACCAAAATATACTTAAAATGGCACTAAAACATGCTGCAATCATTTTACCTTATTGACCACAATAAACATATTTGAGTGTTTTTTATCTAATATTGTATATTGTCCCATCCCTAGTTGGAAAACCAGATAAACTGGCAACAGATTGACATTAGATGAATACTTCAAAATGAAACGTAGAGAAACTAAAACAGCAGCGGATGTAAAAATGCTGATCTGAACAGCTACTGAACAAGGGGAAATAGACTTTCAAGACAGCTTAACCCCCTAAAACCAATCAAAGGAAAAACTAAAAAACCTCAGATTATCTGTTTCATCAGGATGTGGGTGTGTTTTTATTAATCTGACGATGACCAAAACAACACACCAACTGTCGTCCGATTCTGATTAAAATGTTGCTGAATCATGCAGTCTCATGCACCTCAAACTGTTGAGAGCAGCACAGAGAGAAAGGAAATCTAGATACATATCATAAAATATGCTAAAACTGCTCTCACTTCTCACACTGATTAACAAATAGGCCTCTTTTTACTACTATTTGAATGTCTGTTTACTTGCTACTACTTTGTACAGCACTTTGGTCAACGCTACATATAAAGGTGTCAGTGACGAATCGTGTGTGTCCCTCTCTGCTTCCCACCAGAATGCTGGTAACCAGTTGAAGAGCTTGCAGAAGGCCCTGAAGAACCCCATTGGCAACGCTGGATTGCTCGCAGGAGAAATGACCAAGAGAGCTAAAAGGTCACAAACACACACACACACACACACACACACACACACACACTGTCTGTTTCCTCCTGTTTGGGAGATAGAAAATGTTAAACTGCTATAGCTGAAGGTAGGAGAGGGGGACTTCCCTTGCGGAAAATTACATTATCTGATGCAATTCCATTGACTTCAGTATATTTGCAGCAGACATCCGAGCAGAAACCGCTCATTTTTGCAAAGTCTTCCTTTCGATGACTAAAAATAAAAAAATTCCAGCATTTGGCTGTATTTTATATTTATTTCCTCTTTCAAAGAACTGTGGAGTGTTTAAAAATGGACCAGCACACACCCACCCACCCCCACGACACACACACACACACACACACACCCACACACACACACACACAGCCACAGTCACCACACAGTCACAATTTCCTGCACTCTTCACTTTAAAATGATTAAAAACTTCCTAATGCAGTTTAGTAAGTGCTTTTAGGCCGGCTCTGTTCGAGTGCAGTTACAGTGCAGACAGACAGTTCCTCTTACCAGCACTCTAATGCAGCTAATCTGTCCATTTCTGTGTCCCATTTGTCCTCCCCACATCTCCAGCACCGCTATTTAACACTTCATTGCTGAATTCGCTGACTTCTGAACTTGAGAATTTAGTCAAAACTGTGTGCTGTTGACTAGAATACCTTTCTTGATAGACTGTAAAACTTCATATGAAAGCAGAGTCCCAGATACAGGCAGGTTGAGTTCAATGAGGTTTTACAGCACCTTTTTTTTTTGTTATTAGTTATTCTTGCAAAAATGAGCTGGCATGACATAAGATAAACACTACAACTTCATTTATAACAGCTACAAAAGTGAAATGGGTGGATTTTCCCCCGACGGTGGTCCAAGTTTTAATAGAGAACAGCTCTAATGAATGTGTGACACAGATTGTATTTAAGCCTCATTTGTTATTCATCTCATTATTATCCGGCAGAACAGACAGTGTGGCTGTTTTTAGATCCAGCGTAGACACAGATGAGCGGCTGTGTTGAAAATGGTATATTTCTACTTCCTCTGCCATGTTGCTATAACAACTGCTCGTCTTGTGTTGTCTTTTGTAGGAAGGCAGGTTTGGGCACAGGCCTGACGCTGCAGGGAACTGTACATCCTGAGCTGGCACAGAGCGGTGAACTGGTACGCTTTCCATTTTAGGCTTTTAAGTGGTAGCTGGATTGTGTTTGTTTTTTGCTAATGGGATAATATGGGATTTTTCCTGATTTGTTGCCTTTAATTACTGATTTACATGTTAGTCTCCATGTTGCTTACTTGTTTGTGGTTTGTTTTTTGATTTATAGACGATTAAAGCCATTGAACAGTTTGGAGCGGTCGTTGAGGAGCTGCTGATCAAACACGGCAAGAAGATCATTGGTGAGTGTTTGTGTGTGTGAACGTGAGAGGAAAACCGTGGATGAAAATCCCCACCTGGTAGAGTTCTGGCTGTTTCTGAGTCATTTTGGACTTCTTTTTGAGTCCTTCAGTGTCAAACTTATTATAAAATAATATCGCAACTAATTTGCTTAAAGAGAAGAATTACGAGTTGTTTACCGAAGTCTTACGATCATATCCAAAGGTTTGAATCCTCGTATCACTTATGTTTTGTAAGTTTAAAGTTGAATAATTCCACTGAACGAGCCGTTTCCTGTTGCAGAGGAACAGTTTGTCCAGAAGAGAGTTGCAGACTGTGCCATTGACCTCTACGCCATGGTGGTCGTCCTGTCCAGGTACGCAGACAATCAAACATCGATAGTCTCTGTCTTTTCTTTTTCAACCACTCTTTCTCTGCCGAGGTTTCACTCTTTCACCCCCTCTCTTGGTGCTCACTCCTACTCACTCTCTTTATGGTCTACTTTATTCCTCATTCTCCTACGCACACTAAACTGACATTTGTTCTGTTTTTTTTCCCCCTCTCTCTCTGCAGGGCTTCACGCTCTCTGAGTCAGGGCTCTGCCTCAGCTCAGCATGAGAAGATGCTGTGTGAGACTTGGTGTGTGGAGGTAAGATCCATGTCAAAGCCAGGATTAGGATTACTATAATTAAGATTCAATATTGTGTAGGACATGTTATTAAAAACACGAATAAAGGGCGCCCGGTTAGCTCAGTGGGTGGAGCTGGCGATGAGGCTGAGTCCTTGCTGCAGCGGGGTTCAAATCCAACCTGCGGCCC